TTGGTTGCTCTAGGGTTAGATCTGAATTAAAAAAAAAATTAAAGATTTATTTTTTATTTATACAATAGCTGGGGTACAGGCCAGAGATACAGGAGGTTGAGAGGATTCACCAGAGACAGAGTGGGGAGCAGAACAGGCAGACAGACCGAAAGCACTGCTGAAGGGAGCAGCGGGTGGAACAGGAGAGGTCTGCTGCACCATGTGGGAATCTTCCTGGCTGGTTGGAGATCGTACCTGTGCTGCAGAGGCTGCGGACAGCTTCACAGCACTGTGCTCAAACTGCTGCACCACTGGGGAGGCCCTAGATCTGATTTTTTTTTACTTCAATCCAACAGATCTGCTCTTGGACTCCTAACATGTTTTCTTTGAGACTTAGTCGTTGTTGCTCTTTATAGAACCATGAATTTCTTACTCCTGATCTTCTCATTTACTCTTTACATTGCATCTAGTAAAACCATCACCATATTTTCTTCCTAAAGATATTTTTCCTGTATTCTACCCTCAAAAACAGACAAATGGTTATTTTTCTTGTGCAGGCTCAATTTCCTAGGTAACTCGGACAAAGTTGAAAGATTTATTTTTATTTATGCATACAAGAACTGGGGGTAGGCCTGAGGTAAGGAGAATGAGAGGATTCACCAGAGATAGAGTGGGGAACAGAACAGGCAGATTGATTGAGGTATACTGCTGAGGGGAGCAGCAGGCAAGACAGGAGAGGTCTGCTGTGCCATGTGGGTCAGCTCCCTGCCTGGGGATCGAGCCCATGCTGCAGTGGTTGGCAATAGCTTCATGGGCTGAGATTTTAACACCTGCACTACCAGGGAGGCCGTAGCTCTGACAAAGTTTGACCTTCTTGCTTCTGTACAATGTAGAAGTACAGCATCACACCCGATAAAATCCTGTCACTGCCCCTCAAGGACTTTGACATGTTACACATCCTGACACATGTACTAAACCTCCCCTTTAGATACTGTTTGAGCTCATTGGTGATGTCTGAGCAAAGTACCACAGACTGAGAGGCTTAGAGTAGTCACTGATATGGAGGTTAGAAGTCTAAAGACAAGGTGTGGGCAGGGCCATGCTGCCTCTGAAGGCTCTGGGGGAGGGATCTGCCTTGACCTCTCTCCTATCTACTGCTAGTTCTTTGGCAAGTGACTACATGATGTCAGTCTTTGCATTGCATTGTCCCAGTGTGTGTGCCCATGTCCAGATTTCCCCTTTTATAGGACACCAGTAATATTATTTTAGGAGCCCATTGTACTCCTGTACGACCTCATCTTAACTTATTATACCAGTGACAACCTTATTTCAAGATTGTAACTTGGGATACAAGGGCTTGGGATAAAAACTTCAATATATGAATGTTGGGGTGGGAAAAACAATTTAACCCTTCACAGGCACTATCTCCTCTTTCCAAATTTCTATTCTATGTGGCAGCACTTCAATCTCATACCTCCTCTGCTTCTCAACACCCCATTAAAGGAGACTGAATGGACCTGAACAATCTCTGGGCTCAGTGATGAGGTCCTACTTACACTTTTACCTTATCTGCTGGTATAATAGTGGCTTTCATTTTGTTGAACTCCTGCTCTGTGCCAGATACTTTATGTATATTATTGTAAATTTCACCCAAATTAACATTATTCTCATTTTGAAGTTGAGGAGAAAAGCTTAGGTGACTCATTAAAGGCTAGTGTTGAGCTTGAATTTTCTGGCTCAAAGCCCAGACTTAGTCTACTCCACCTCAGTGTCTTCTGGAACATCAGAAGAGATCTTTCTGGCCAAGTTACAATAATTTATTTTTCCCCTGTTGGAAACCATGGCCATCTTATTTAGGAGAGAAAATCTGAAAGACAATTAGATGATTTAACAGGTGTTTACTGAGCAACTTCTAGGTATGCAGTTCTAGCGTGGGAGGGAGATGGGCTGTAACATACATGTGTTTTTTTTTTTTTTAATCTTTGTCTTTTATTTGGCAGCAGTGTTTAAATTTCAAAAGGCATTAAAGCAGCAGCAATTCTAAGCATGTCTTTTTGATATAAAGTTTAAATACTACATTATCTGGACACATTTTTCATTTTCTTTTTATGTTTAGCTATAAGCCTTATAGGAGGTATAAGTACCCAGAGATAGCAAACCAGGTAGGTTTGTGTAAGTTACTTCTTATAGCATGACTGAGACTTACAAACAAGTATTCACTCTAGCGTTGATGAACTCTATTACTGAGGGTATGCATACTCTACTAAAACAATAGTGATTTTGATAATGACCATGGATAGTGGCCAGTCTTATCACCACTCTAAATCAGTGTTTGAAATTTTTCATCTACTGCACAGAAATAGGTAGAGTTTTTATTAGGTAGGGGTAGAAGAACTGAAATAGCAGCCATAACTCTTCAGAAACCTTGAAGTCAAAGTTTAAAGATATTTAAGTCAAATCCTTTTCATTGGTCTTGTGAATTGACATAAGGTAGGAAGGTAAGCAGTGCATGATGTTACATGCCCCCTCTCTGGCAGATAACTAGGCATGGCACATCAGAGCATAAGGCAGTGTGAGGAAAAGAAAGTGAAAAATTATATTTTCTCCTCTCTTGACACTTAATGTTAAAATGTAAAAGAGAAAGAACTACTTGTAGCCACTGTAGCTAGTGGTGATTAGAGAAGATTCCATGGAGATAGTGAAGATGAAACACTAGTAAAGAATGGATGGATTTTAATGCTAGAAATGAGGATAGCATAACATCAGTGATTCTTTTTTTCCTAGAGATTTATTTATGCATACAAGAATGGGGGTACAGGCCAGAGGTGCAGGGGATGAGAGGATTCACCAGAGACAGAGTGGGGAACAGAACAGGTGGACTGACTAAAATACACTGCTGAGGGGAGCAGCAGGTGAGCCAGGAGATGTCTGCTGCACCATGTGGGTTCTCCCTGGCTGGGGATTGAACTCGTGCTGTAGTGGCTGCGGCCAGCTTCTTAGGTTGCATCCCAAATTCTTGCACCACCAGGGAGGCCCCACATCAGTGATTCTTAATATACAGAGTTGGCTTGAAGGGAACCCAAGAAACAATGGAATTGGCTGATAAGTTTTGTGTGCAATTTTCAAGGGAGAGGACCATCAGCATTCATTATTGTCAAAGGTGTCTCTGTTGCAAAAAAGAATTTAAGAGTTTATGTTTTATGTCCTTGAACAGTGAACTTCAAAATGGTAGACCTGAGAATGAGAACCTTCTAAATCGGGCTTGCAATGTAGTATCTGGCCCCCACTTGAAGCTTTTGTACAGAGATTGATAAACAGTATATTCAATGGTGACAAGTTAGACGTGAAAGATCAGAGAAAAAACATCAAGAATGAAATCAAGCTTGTGATTTGGTACAGTAAAGTATAGTCAGAATTATACACTTGGTAGAAAATGAATTAATATTGGAGCATCAAGACAGAGAGAAAATACAAGCTTATGGACATGAAGCTAGGAGTCAGGAATGCTAATTTTAACTGAAGGGTTTATTACTACTTTTGGATAGCTGTGAAAATACAGACAACAGAAGGGAACACAACCAGAACTGAGTTCAAGTGCTGCCGACCATGTGGACCAGCTGTGTGGCCTCGCATAAATTCCAATGCTTCCCTGAACCTCCATTCCTTATTTTTAAGCTAGTTTGAACCGTCTCTTTCATGGGGGAGGATGAGGATAAAATATGAGTAAAAAGTATCTAATCTGTAGCAGACTCTTGATAAACTGCCATACCCTTCCTCCCTTCTTTATCTTGGAAGAGTTTTGCTTGTGTCCTACTTACAGCTATCCTCCAAACTAGGTGAAAATATTGCATTTGCTTTCATAAAAATTGTGCATGATGTGAGAATAATGATTAGAAGAAGGTGGAGTAAGGGGTCCTGATTCCACGAGAAAACAAAAATAAGACCATATCAATATTAAAGGAACTTCTTGGTTCTAGCTAGCAATGTATTCCACCAGGTTTTAAAATACTGGTTAGAACTTCACAGCTGTGCAGCTAATAGTCCCATTGAGAATTAATGCTCTATTTAAAAAATAAGAAATAAACTATGATGTTTTAAAATACAAACAGGTACGTGGTAGCACTGTAGGAGGAACACAGGGTAGGAGGTGGGGACCAAATAGGAAAAAGAGAATAATAGGACCCCAGATCTGAAGCCAGATACTCTCGGGAAAGTCACTTCCTTCAAGGCTGTTTTCCTCATAGGTAATATTCTTCAAGACACTTCTAGTTATTATAAGATTCTAGCTATATATGGTATATAGAAAAGTTGTTTTAAATGATGAGGAACTGGTTACTAATAACCCTAACAGTTAACTCTATGTCCAAGAACTGTCTAAAGTGCTTTCAATGATAAACTCATTTAAATACCCCAAGCAGCCTAGAGTCCTAACACTAACCCCAAGGCACGAAAAGGTAGTTCTGGTCACCCTGCATATATGTAGAGTGGGACCCGGGCTCCAAGCTTTGTCCTGTAACCACTATGGTCTAAATAACTGTGCTCCCTCAACTGACTCATAATAGCGTCTAGGATGTGAAGAGCTGGTCTCTTTAGAAGTAATAATAATCTCAAGTCTGAAAAAATTCAGTGGTTGCCTTGAAAAGAAAGGATTTACTAAGTATAAAATAGATGTGAGTGGGTCTCATTCCTCTTAACACACATACAATTGTACTCTCTAAAGTCTTTCTCAAATGTTTCAGTGTCTCTTACAAGTTGCAAGGACAGCATTGTCAGGTACATACTAATAACTTGCTTTACTTTGCAATAGTGTTGTTGACATTTTGCATCTGGAGAACTTGACCAAAGGCCACCTTGGGCATCTTACCTTGAACAGCTGCTGTATGCACCATGAACTTGAGGAGAAGCAGAGCTCCCACTTATATATCCAGTGGGATCTGTGGCTGAGAGAATTGCAGCCACGAGAAGAACAGTTTGTCCACAGCACCTGGTACTCTCTGCTCCCTGGTTTCCCTCTGCCAGCCTCACACCACAGTGCTCTTCTTCCCCTGTGGAGCAGGATCCTCTAAATGAACACCGGAACCCATTGCCCAGGAGGTTTCTGGAGTGCTTTGCTGCATCACCACCAAGCGGATGGAGGGCTGGGCATCCTGAGTGGCCTCAGGAGGGTACTCCTTACTGGGGTCCTTGCCTCTGCAATCGTACAGCATGCAGGAGATGAGGAAAACCAGGAGCAAGATGACGTAGCTTGTGACTAAGATGATCAGGTTCAAGGTGACAGGGTTGATCTCCAAATAAAACTCCATGGCATCTCTCGCTGTTGGGAAGTGGGTCCAGAGAAAGGCAATGGGACCAGTTTGGGAATTGCAGGTCAGAATAGCTAGAGGGGCTCTGGAGTAAAAATACATTAATCCCCACTGCTTTCAGAGACCACACAGATTAACGCTGCTTGGTTTAATAACTTAAGCTCTTGCTCTTAATACTGCTGCTACCAAAACACAGAAGCTGTCTCTCACCAGTTCACCAATGCAAGAGAAGTTTCATATGTTACCAAAGCGTGGTATGTAAGTAGGGTGTCCATATAATTTATTATCCAAACAGGCAGTGTGGGGAGCTTAGAACTGGAGCACTTGGTCCTTTATTTTCTGTCTTATGCGAGTTCAAAATGCTTGCATCTCTTCACAGTCAGCATTCTCTTGGCTCTGTCCTTGGGTTCATGGCATTCTAGCCTACAGCACAATCTTCTGCACAGTTTCAGCCTCCTGAAAAATTGGCTTGTCTGCCCATCACAGACGGGCCCTGCTACTTCCCGCATAATGCGGCTCTGCTGCCCCAGGCCACAGAGCACAGCCTTCATCTTTGGCCCTGGGTCACAACCAGGGGCTGCTGAATGCCACACACTGAGGACTTCACTCTGGATCTCAGAGCAAGAGGTGACCCGGGGAAGTCTTAGGTCTGGGAGTGCCACAAGCTATTCACATTTTATTTTTTTTATTTTTTTTTTATTTTTTTTTTTTTTTTTACTTTTTTTTTTTTTTTTATAGAGGCATGTTTTATTTTATTTATTTATTTGTTTGTTTGTACAAGCACTGGGTACAGTCAGAAGCGCGGGAGGGTGAGAGAATTCACCAGAGCCAGAGCGGGGAACAGAGCAGGCAGAAGGACCGAAGTACACTGCTGAGGGGAGCAGCGGGCGGCAGGAGAGGTCTGCACGCCATGTGGGACCCTCCTCTGGTGGCCGGGGAGCAGCCGGGGATCGAACCGGCGCCGCAGAAGCTGCGGGCAGCTTCGCAACCCAGCGCTCAACCGCTGCGCCACCTGGGAGGCCCGCTATTCACATTTTAAAGAGATTGCCTTGGCTGCTGTAGGGATGCAAGAAAAAAAAAAAATTGAAAGATAAGAATACAGATAGCATTGGATTTCTTAATCACCACACTGCCTCAGCTGTGGCCCTGTCTCAGCTGTCCTGTACAGGACCAAGTTCATGAGCAAGTGCATAGCAGGCCATGCTCAGAAGGGTGCCAAACTTGGTTTAATGCTCTGCCATTACCATCTTGAAATCCAATAATTTTTTTATTTTGCGGCAGGCTCACAGTTGTGTATCTGGCCTTGACCTCTTCTAGGCATTTTTAACCAGACAGAACCATTTCTCCAAGAGCTAATGGGGTTCCTTTGATACTTCTAGGTCAAGGACAAAGGTCCCTGAGCTCTGCTGGTGTTAAGTTTTAATGGCTTGGCACGTTCCTGTCTGGGTGCTCATGTCCAGCTTCCATGGCACCTGAGGGTTCGGGGATACTATAGAAAGGCGTTCTTATTAATATGGAGGCTTTTCTGAAATAAAATATTCTGTAATCCTGTGACCCTAGACTGACCTGCGGAATTACACTCCAGAAGAAGAATGGTTCTCAATCAATGCAGGTGTGGTGCCAGCTTCACTGGACTCAACTGGGCTCCTTAAGAATATCGATTTCTGGGCCTCCCCTGGTGGCACAGCAGTTGAGTGCTGGGCTGCGAGGCTGCCCACAGCCTCTGCAGCACCGGTTCGATTCCCGGCCGCCGGCGAAGGTCCCACATGGCGTGACAGACCTCTACTGTCACGCCCGCTGCTCCCCTCAGTAGTGTACTTCCATCAGTCTACCTGTTCTGTTCCCCGCTCTGGCTCTGGTAAATTCTTGCACCCTCCTGTGCTTCTGACTGTACCCAGTGTTTGTATAAATAAATAAAATAAAAAAAAATCGATTTCTGGGGGCCTCCCTGGTAGTGCAAGGGGTTAAGATGCAGCACTATTGAAACTATCCACAGCCACTGCAGCATGAGTTTGATCCCTGGCCAGGGAGCTACCTACATGGCACAGCAGACCTCACCTGTCACTCCCGCTGCTCCCCTCAGCAGTGCATTTCAGTCAATCCGCCTGTTCTGCTCCCCACACCTCTGGCCTGTACCCCTGTTCTTATATGCAAAATAAATAAATAAATCTTTTTTTTTTTAAAAAAAGAATACAGATTTCAGGATCAACCCCCAATCTTGGATAGTTTTATACATAACCAGGGTGGAGAATCATGGTCATTGGAGTGTGAGTAAAGGATGTGAAGTAAGCATGTCACCAGTGCCCAGGATGGCTTCCAAGAGATGTCAGAGAAGGCTCTCAACACAGACTCTAGCACCATCCAAGGTTTGGAGTCCAAAAGGATCAGATAGTACCTTTAGCTGAGAGGAAGTCCTTTTCCTGGTGGTGATTCACATTTACCAAGCTCATAAGAGACTGATATTTAAAACAATACTGATTTATTGAGTTAGAGTGAAAAACACCACTGCCACAAGGTCAGGAACACCAGTGCTGGAACAACTACAGTTTTTTGTCCCTTAAGGCAAATCTACAAAGTGCATTTATAACCAACAAGTTTCTTGATGAGCACAGAACCTCAGGAGGTAGTACTATCTGATACCACCTGAAAGTCACATGATGTAGCCAGGGTCACAGCCAGGCATTAAAAGGTAGCATTATGGACCAGTTAATTTATTTTGCCCACTCTGAACTCTGGATCCTTCACTTTTATAGTAAATGAAGTCTGTACAGTGCAGGTTTTTCCACGTCACAATTTTTTTTAAAGATTGTTTTTTATTTATGAAAGAGTTAGGGTACAGGCCAGAGTTGTGGGAGAGTGAGAGGATTCACCAGAGACAGAGCAGGGAACTGAACAGGCAGATCAACCGAAAGCACTACTGAGGGGTGCAGCGGACGAGGTTGGAGAGGTATGCCTCGCCATGTGGGAATCTCCCTGGCCAGCCAGGAATCGAACCGGCGCTGCAGAGTCTGCGGACAGCTTCACAGTGCTGCGCTCAACCCACTGCGCCACCAGGGTTGGCCCCACGTCACAATATTTAGGGAACTTTTTCATGGCTTTAAATAGATGATGCAAAGAGTTGCTAAAACTGACTCTGAAGTGAGAACTATGCATAGTTTAGTCAACATGAAATTAAACTGAAATAGATGCAGCTACTCTGTTCTACTGAGTAGTCACAGCAGCTCCAGGCTTCTCTGAGACACGGTGATAAGCCCTAATCACGGCGGTTAATCTGGTCTGACCTCCTCTCTCTCCCAGTTCTCTGAATCTCTCCGTGGTGTCCCAGGATATTTTGTTCAAGGCTTTTGTTTTGGGTTCAGTATCTTATTACTATCTACAGAGAGCTTTTTGTCTACCAGTGCTCAAAGTTCCTGTTGGGTCCAGGCTCTGCTTCCTGCCCTTGTGCTGAGTGAAATGCAGGCTACCTGTCTTGCTTAACCAGCTCCTGAGTTAGCTGCTTTACTCACCATGCAGCCAACCTCTCCAAGAGGCGCTTTCCTGCTTGCCAGAGCTTGAAGGAACTTTCCTCTTGTGCCATCTAGTGGCCAATGCAGAGTTTGTTAAATAAAGAAAACATTGGCAAAAGCAAAGGAGGCTTAGCTTTTTCTCATCAGAGGACAGAGGCAATAATAAGAAGTCACATTTCAGAACCACCCCCTCTCCCCTTAATTGATATTCAGCATATACTCATTTACAACATGATTGTTCACTTACCAGAGGCTGCCAGGAGTTTGATAATGTAATACCCAAACGTTGGAGTTTGATAATGTAATACCCAAACGGCTGTGTGTCCCATGCTAGAATGCTCATGAGCTCCATTTAGGAATGAGGAATTGAAGGTCAGAGAGCCAACTGAATGCTAATTAGCTTATTCCCTTTCTCCCTTTCATCTCTCCACCTCTCTTATCTCTTGCCTGAAGCAGAAATCAGTGATCTACATAGACTATCCTGTGTCATGTGCTCTGGGGAGTGGGAAACCCAATCAGGTAGGTTTTCTGAGGATTCTCCATTATATACATGCTATTTATAGTAAAGTCCATTTTGCCTGCTGGGACTTAATAATATCAGAGAAATTTGTGTTCCATATAAATGCATTTTCAGCTACTACTACTACTGGATAGGAATTTACTCAATGACTTGCTTCCTCAATAAAACACAGCACACCAGAAGTCAAAGTGCAATTTTAAGTTTTAATAATGTTGCAAGTAAAATAACCATAAACTTATAAAAAAAATCATTGGAAGCTTAGTAATTTTACCATTGAGGACAAAATCACAATGAAAGTGACTCATTCAGGAACAAATAGTAAATAACAGAAATAAGACTTTAAGCCAAGTGTTTGAATTCTAGTCTAATGCTTTCTTCATTAGACTAGCATTAGGGGTGCTATTAACTAGATACAGAAAATGAAAGAGGAGTAGATGCTATAGGTGCTAGAAAGTGAGAATGGCAATGATGATGACAACCACATGCCTGCCATCTATATTTTCAAAGTCAACTTGACCCGACATTTGCACAAAAAGAATATAACTCCAACCCACTGCCCTTCTCAACGTCAGAGAACTAGTCAGAACTAGTAAATGCCTTCTCTGGGGCCTCTGGGGAAATGCTACCACATTTTATCACAGAACAATGTCAAGATAATTTTTTCCACCTGCCTTGGGTTGAATAGCGCCTGCCTCCAAATTCATGCCCACTTGAAAACTCTGACTGTGACCTTATTTGGGAATAGGGACTTCGTAGATGTGATTTGAGAGATCAGGCCACACTGGATAAGCTCAGGTCTTCAGTCCAGAGACCAGTGTCCTTATAAAAAGGTTGCATAGACATGGGGCAGGGACTGCAAGGAGACAGCTGGACGTCCAGGCAAGGACGGCAGGGGACCACCAGCAGCTGGGAGAGAGGCTTAGGACAGATTCATTTTCAGAGTCTCTAGAAGGAATCGACCCTGCTGACAGCTT